GTTATAACTTAGTTATAACTTTTGTAACTAAAAAAAGTTACAAAAAAGTTATAACTAAGTTATCGGAGTTTGGAATGGCATGTTTTAAGTGAGGTATAATTTAGTTATAACTTAGTTACAAAAAAGTTATAACTTTTTCATAACTTTTCACCTTTTATTGAACATAAATACAGCAAGTACATAAAAGTTATAAAAAAGTTATAACTACAAAAAGTTATACTTATTAAAAGTTACACAAAAAGTTATAAAATAGTTACAAAGTTATACTTTAGTTATACCCAAATAAACAGTGGAAAAGTTACAAAAAAGTTATACCCAAAAAAAGTTATGAAAAAGTTACAAAAAAGTTATACCCGGAAAAAGTTATACCCAGGAAAAGTTATAACTAAAAAAAGTTATACCTATTATAAAGTTATGAAAAAGTTACAAAAAAGTTATACCCCAAGAAAGTTATGAAAAAGTTATAGAAAAGTTATAACTAAAAAAAGTTAAACTAAAAAAAGTTATAACTGCAAAAAGTTATAACTATAAAAAGTTATACCTATTAATAAAAACTTTCGTAAAAGTTCCAGTGAAATTATACACTGTATGTTAACCTGTTGTGGATTTACTCAGTTATAAGCTTTTAAAAAGCTACTCATTAAAATTAAAAAAAAAAAAAAAGATTTTTGAAATTTATACAAAAAAGATTATTTAAAACATATTAAAGGCAATAACAATTTTACCTAACAAACACGATAAAGATAGCTTGGTTTATTGTCAAATACAACTAAATGAATGCACATGCAATTGTTTTAAAAATTCAAGTGTACCTTATTTTACATCATGTCATCTACAACAGATTGAAATTTCTCTGGTTGTTTTAAAGAATACATTTTTAGCATATAGCAATTAGGGTCTTTGTAAAATTACCTAGCAAACTGCATTCTACTCTTGCTAATTGTATAAACAGACATCACTAATTTTTAAATATTAACACCCTATTTATTTTTGATCTAGCTGTATTTCAAAAAAAAGAAAGTTCTATAAACAGTGATTTCACAGTTTCTAGCTGCATACCACCCTCCTTGCACAGGTATCCTTGCAGGTGTACAGTTGTTTATCTTTATTATTTGAAGATAGCTGCACTGGCTGAAAGTTGGCTGACAGACTTAGCCATCGTTTGACAGGCCGCACTGGTAGTAGACCAAGTTAGCTGACAGACTTAGCCATCGTTTGACAGGCCACACTGGTAGTAGGCCAAGTGAATTGAAGGACTTGGCCATCGTTTGACAGGCCGCACTGGTAGTTGGTCAAGATAGTTGACGGACTTGGCCATCCCTTGACAGGTCGCGGACTTGACCATCTGTATCTGTAGTTGGTCAAGTTAGTTGACGGACTTAACCGTCCCTTGACAAGCCGCACTGGTAGAAGGCCAAGTTAGTCAATGGTCTTAACCGTCCCTATATTGACAGGCCGTACTGGTAGTAAGCCGAGAGACGAACTTGGCCATCTCTTGACATGCGGCACTGGTAGTAGGTTAAGTTAGTTGACGGACTTGACCATCCCTTGAAAAGCCGCTCTAGTAAGCCAATCTAGTTGATGGAGTTGTTCAATGACAGGCCGCACTGGTAATAGGCCAAGTTAGTTGAAGGACTTGACAGGCTGCACTGGTAGTCAGCCGAGCTAGTTGATGGACTTGGTCATCCCTTGACAGGCCGCACTGGGTCAGCCGAGCTGGCCGAGGGACTTGGCTGGTGGTCTGCGTCCCTCATTTTAGCTGGTCAGACGTCTTGGCTGGTGGGCAGTGTGACTGGTAGTCGGCTAAGTTTTCGTTGAAATATGCTTGCAATTTTAACCTTTTCTTCAATTCTGCAAAAAATTGTAAAGGTTCAAAATTTAGATTATAGATATTTAGATAGTATTTTTCCAGCACTCATTTGCATATCAAATTGAAAACACTCTTCCATATCAATTAATTCAAATTCATTAATTCATCCAAAACATGGAAAATACAAGACTAATTTAAGATCTATACTTACAGGAATCAGTTTTAGATTGAAAGATTTATTGAATTTTGAAATGAAAAAAAAAATTTACTTTACCTTAAACAAGTAATATTGTGAAGAATTTCATGTACTCCAGGTCAGGACAGATTCAGCTCATGGAAACATCATGTACCAATATTCTGCTTTATAAAAAAAAAAAAGAAAATTAATGTTAAATTACTCATTTCATTGCATTAATTAACATTGCAGCTAGATCATGTTATGATCATGCTGATGCGTATAAGGCTTCACAATATTTTAACAGTTCAGGGAATCTATAAACAATTGTGGGAATAAATATGACAAAGAACAACATATTTGATTAATATACTAAATGCTGAAAAATATTATGCGTTTCAAATACTTTCAATTTGTTTACTTCAGTCTTTGTCATTCGACATACCAATCAAAACAAACAAGAAATCTAAGATTCACACGCCTAGAATTGTGTTCATTCCCAATATTTCTTCTTTTTGGAATGTTATTCCAGAGGTACTAAGTATACTTTACCAAAATCAATAAAATGTTAGCATAAATATCGCCTTACCAACTGGTTTTATCTCCTTTTTTTCTATCAACACTTTCAACATCCAAACATTCAAATCGTCCATGGAAAAATCCGCGCTCTGTTATTGACCAATCATAGAACTCAAAAACGTCACGTGATCGAAAAAAATAAATAAATAATTCATTATTAATTTATTTTAAATGCAAATAAACCTAATTGTGTAATTTCAACCTTAAATTAAAAATATAAATACCAGTTGGTGTTAAAATTTTGAATTTATCTTAGTATCAACAAAACGGACATCGGAGGCCGGCGGCCGCCATATTTGCCGCCATTTTGAATTTAATATTTGTTTATTTGTGAAAATAACTATTATAACTGGGTTATTTAATTATGCAAACAATAAAATCTACATGTACTAGTCATCTGCTTAAATCTTAATATAACTGGCAGTCTTTATTCACAACATCGTAATATCTGTTCAACATGAACATGCACATACTCTATGCTGTTGTTTATCTTTTTAGCCACCCATATTACGACTGATTTTCTTCAGATTTCAAACAACCTGTGTAGAATTGTATCATTCAGAGATTGTGTAATACCCAAGCTGAAATATTTACGATGTGTTGGCCACAAAGGTCACCTAGTACAAACACCTGTCTCACAGAAAACAATAGGGAAATTTACACAGTTTTGCACACGAAGACTTCATGAGATTACATTTCATACTGTTTATATCTCTTGCAGTACATTTATATTTCCCCAGAATTATGAAATATATTCATTCCCAACTTCAGATGTAAGTGCATTATTATAATTTACAAGACAAATATTATGTCTCATCAGGGTCTCAATAAATACGTATTTTCTAAGAGAGAGAAGAGAGAGAGAGAGAGAAGGAGAGAGAGAGAAATTAATTATTCTCAACTTTAGTTGAAACTTACATGACAAATATCAATTTAAATAGACAATAATATTTATTACACACACATGACATGTACTGTGTACACACCCTCAAACACCACAGAGAGAGAGAGAGAGAGAGAGAGAGAGAGAGAGAGAGAGAGAGTTTCTCATTTATAGATGTAATTCACAAGATTTTATTTCACATCCCTTCTGTTGAACTTGACATGGCTGTGGACAGCATATTTACCGGTATTATGAATGAGAAGTCGATCACTGGTAGTAAACAATATTATTGTTCAGGAATTGACAAAGTTTTCTGCTGCAGTGTTTGAAAAAAAAAAAAAAACATTTTGAACACGATCAAAATTCATTCAAATTAACACTTAGTTTATATGTTATTTTTGAAAAAAAAAAAAGTTGGTGTCAAGTAGTATCCATTAAATAACCCCCAAAACTTGTAAATTTATACTGGTAATGCTTGAAAATGGCTAAGTTCAGAAAAGTTATGTTTTAGTTATACATGAAAATGACAAAGTCCAGAAAAGTTATGTTTTAGTTATACATGAAAATGGCTAAGTCCAAAAAGTTACATTTTAGTTATACATGAAAATGACAAAGTCCAGAAAAGTTATGTTTTAGTTACACGTGAAAATGGCTAAGTCCAAAAAGTTACATTTTAGTTATACATGAAAATGACAAAGTCCAAAAAAGTTACATTTTAGTTATAACTTTTTTGTACCTCACAGGCTAGGTATAACTAAGTTATACTTTAGTTATAACTTAGTTATAACTTTAGCAAAGTCATTTTGGCCAAAAAAGTAAAAATATTAAATACTTTCAGTGTTTTGTTCATCGATTACATACTCTCCAGAAAAAAGACATTTTTCAAAAAGCAAAAACTTGCGACATGTGTACGTTCTTGGGTGAGATTAGAGCTTGTGCGTATTCAAAAAACTCACACTTCTGACACTTTTGCGCCCAAAGCACTACTGGCAGTAAAAAACATAATCGACTATTTCAGCAGGTCCCACAGTAGATGTGGGGAAAGATCTTTTGTATGCCGAGCTAATACAGATTCATTTAATACACAGTTTCTGCCATACGGACAGTACTTGGAACTTGCGGCTGAAGACCGTCAAAAAATAGAATCTGTATTAAGCAAATCGTTATCACTGGAAGTTTTAAATAAAATATCACTTCTGTATACTACAAATCAATGGGAGAGCCTACATCACAGATTTTTTATGTATGCTCGAAAATCTGTGCTGTATAAAAGAAATTTTAATGGACTTTGTCATTCAGCCTGCCACTCAGCAACATTTGGAACAGGCAGATTATCTGTGCTTTTAGCAAAATGCCTTGGATTAAATTTTTCGAATTGTGCCCCTTTCTTTCGGTTTATGACTAGAAAAGATATACTGTCCTTATATCATTCACAGAGAAAAAAAAACTGTGAAGTACAAAATACAACGATATCTGGCAAAATGTAGAAAAAGTACGGTAATCGAAAAATTAGACAAGAGTCTCTGTACTCAAATGCATATTCTGAACTGAATGAAATTCACAATTATGGAAAAAATGTCAATAAACAATAAACTGATAAATTGAAATTATTACCAGTGTTCTTCTTACCTAATTAAAAATACAATTTTTAAAGCCATCATGTCCAAAACATGACTTGGCATGCTTGCAATGATTACGTGTCATGTTAATGTGTCCTGGCTCAAGGGATAAATGTTTTATATTGATACACTTTTTCTCGTGACACATGTGAGAAACATGATAATGCTCATTGGAGAATTTACAGTTATTTTCCAAGAAATAAACTAGTCTGTGCACAATAAAAATTTGTCGCTTATTTCTGAACTGTGGCATTATAATGGCATAACCGTCCGAATCGGTCATGCCATACCAAATATAACAATCATTTAAAACATTATATCTGTAAAGCTTTGATAAAAGAAATTGCTATTCTTCTGCTGTAAAAGCTGTTTCATATACTCTAGACATGATGAATTTAAAAAAAGTAATAAAGAATCCAACAGTCTGAAACAGTAACATCAAAATCATAAACAATAGAGTCATTAGGGTGTTTTCTGAGGGCTTGAATTTGAAATGTGGAGTGAGTGAGGGGGTATTCAACACCCAACAGAGCTGTGAAACATGTATCTAATGCATTAAACCAGAGAAAATGTAAACATAAACCTATACTGCATTGTTATGTACATTAAATAAAACAACTTTCTCTAGCCTAAAGGTAAATAAATGAAGAAAAATGTAATTTTCTCTCCTTCCTTAAGGGTGCAAAACACAGTTTTAAGTATGACGTTATTGTGACTTTATCAAGTGAGGGACAAGCAAAAGTGACCCCTATAAAAAAACAATATGAAGCCTTATTACATAGACATCTATATATCAATGGAAAGTTTTTTAAATATCAAGGAATAATCCATTCATCACTTACTACAAACATGTATTTGAGGCACAAAATACAAGGAAAATAGGGGCAGTTATGTGTCCGAAAGGAGTACGCATATGCATTTTTACCCCCCTTGAGCAACAAACAGCGAAAAAATCAGAAAATATCAGTTTTATGCATTTGACAGAATAAGTCCTTAGCTTTTCTTTTTGATGTACTTTCAGGGTACATTTTCCAGCTTTTAAAGAGCTACTTTACCTACTAATCCACTCACGTAATTCTGCACGTGTGAAAACCGGATGTTTTGAGAGTTACCTCCCACTAGTAGATTCTAGTTTGTTCAAATCATGACCGTTTGGGGGGTTTTAATTCAAGCCCTCCCCTCCGTCAGTAAACTCAGTTCTGATCTGATTTGTGCTAGCTGATGTGCTCAGGTGAGCGCTGTGGCCCCTGGGCCTCTTGTTTAAATTATGTAAATGAACTTCAAAATATATTTTCAGATTTCGTCGACAAACTCATGTGACACCAAAATCTTATTTATCATTTTTGGATGGATACAAAAACCTTTATGGGAAAAAGCATGCAGAAATAAATGAAATGGCAAGCAGGATGAATACTGGTTTAGAAAAACTCATTGAAGCAAGTGCATCTGTGGACCAGCTATCAAAAGAATTAGCTGTAAAGGAAAAGGAATTGGCTGTAGCAAATGTAAAAGCTGATAAAGTAAGTGTCTATCAGAATCCCAAACTGTAAGTGAGTACCCTTGGTTAAAAAAAAAAGAGAAAATAAATTGAGGTCTGACAAAAAAGTTCTTATTTGATTACAGGTTTTGGCAGAAGTAACTGTCAGTGCTACTGCAGCAGAAAAAGTAAAAAGTGAAGTGCAGAAAGTGAAGGATAGAGCCCAGAAGATTGTTGATGAAATTGAGGAGGATAAAAAAATAGCTGAAGAAAAACTTGAAGCTGCCAAACCTGCTCTCCAGGAAGCTGAAGATGCTTTAAAGGTAATGGTTCAGCTGTGAATATCTTCTCCCCTGACAGAAAATTAAGTTTACTTGACAGGAAATAAAATGTACTATATGTGCCTTTATTATATCCCATGCCTGAAAAAGAGATGGGAGTGCCTGTTCACTACACTTAAAGATAGGCATGTATTATCCACAATTCCTATTACAAATTTGACTGCAATTTAATGAGTCATTCACAAAATCCTTTAACACTGTTTATTATGTTTCAATCGGACACATAGCAAGACATAGACTTGTTCTATCTTTCTTTCTATAAAAATGGGATATCCACTTCTTATCTGCAACTTCTCCCATGCCACTGAATAAAATTAGAGACTTGCATCATTAAAATGCTATTGTTACCTGTTATTTTACATTTGCCTAATCAGAAATAGAAACAAATGCTTTGCCATTCTCAGGGTAGCCATTACTTGTCTGCAATTCCTCTTACACCACTGAATGAAATTTGCACAGAATGAACATAAAGTATAGTGTCCTGATGCATCTTAGCAAAACATGCTTTATAATTGCCATATTTAACATGGGGGAACCCATCTCTTGTTGGTAACTCCTCTTAATCACTTAGGTATAAGATTTAATGAGCCTTTCACAGAGACTTTATTACATAGTGACTGCTAAGTTAGCTTGGTTGAGCAATCGCCCTGTGATAGGGAGGCCTTGGGCTTGAACCCCAGGAGCTGCTGATGCAAGTCCATAAAAAAGTAGGTAAAAACTATACCTTTTTGAAGCGCTCAGCACTTTGAAGTAAAAGTTATGGGACCTTCAGTTGAGACTTTTAAACCCGAGCCCCATGTCACAGCAGACATTAAAATACCTCACTGCTCTTTTTTTTCTCTCATAGTACATCACAAATTATTCAATATTTCAGACAATAAAACCAGCTGATATTGCAACAGTCAAGAAGCTTGGGAAGCCCCCACATTTGATCATGAGGATTATGGACTGTGCCTTGATTCTGTTCCAAAAAAAGCTAGATCCAGTTACACAGGACCCTGATCGACCATGTCCAAAACCATCATGGGGAGAGTCTCTTAAGGTACATGTGTATTTCATTCATTGTACTTTTTTTATGGAGGAGCTGAAGTTAAGATAGTATGCATTAAGTTGAATATGCTCTAATAAGTATTCATGATACATGGTGATATCAGAGGCCTTTTTATGCATATAGAGAGACTATAACTTGGAGATGGAATAGAAACAGTATTTCAATATTTTTATTTTGCGCCCGAATGTATTCGGGGCGCATATTGTTTTTGTCCTGTCTGTCTGTTTTTCTGTTTGTCCGTTTATCTGTTTGTCTGTCTGTTGTCAACTTTAACCTTCACCACAACTTTTGAACCGTGAGAGTTAGAGACTTCATATTTGGTATGCATACTCCACTAATTAAGCACTTTCAACCGACACCAAGTTCAATGACCTTGTGACCTTTACTGTGACCTATATGCTAAATATAGCTTTTTTTGAATTTTCGCCATGACTTTTGAACCGTGAGAGATAGAGACTTCATATTTGGTATGCATACTCCACTAATTAAGCACTTTCAACTGACAACAAGGACAATGAGTGTGTGACCTTGACCGAGACCCGTTTGCTAAAAATTGCTTTTTAGAACTTTTTTGCCGCCTGGTGCATAGTGTTTCACAAACAAATCTTGTTTTATCTTGATCTAAATGGATGAAATCAAGGTAGCAGTCATATGTCCATTAAATATAAAAATGGAACTATCTTGTAACAATATTGTTAATGTTTTTACAATTCTTTGCTAATTTGCCATACTTCTTCCTTTCATTGTAGCTGATGAGTGGTTCCGGGTTTTTGAACTCATTACAGACCTTCCCTAAGGATTCAATAAATGAGGAAACAGTTGAGCTTCTGCAGCCCTACCTGACAATGGAAGACTATAACTTTGAGTCTGCCAAAAAAGTCTGTGGGAGTGTGGCTGGATTGCTGTCCTGGTCTACAGCTATGGCATTTTTCTATGGCATCAATAAAGAGGTTTTACCTCTAAAGGTACATGAGTAAAATCATGTTAGTATTTAAAGCGCTTTATCACAGTTTCAAATGGACATTTATTCTTTTGGTTTCAAATTTTACAATAGGCAAATTTAGCAAAACAAGCAGCAAGATATCAAGTAGCATCTAAAGAACTTGATGGGGCCCAGGCACAACTGGATGAAAAACAAGCAGAACTTGACAAAGTGCAAGCTTTGTATGATGCAGCAATGGCAGAGAAACAGGTGAAGATCTTTTCATATCTTTACACTACATCATGGTCTGCAACAGTTTTTTTAAGATCCCTTGAGTCATTCAAATGAACTTTTTTCCCAACCTTTCTGTAAATT